ATTGCTTGCCAGTGCCCCTGGTACCCAGAGTCCGGCTCTCTGGGATCAGAAGCTTGGCAAAAGATCGGAAAAACCCTCTTCACAGAACCGAGGGCACCGATTCATTGTCTGCTCACTTGGCAGAAATGTGCAGATGCCGTCGCTAGATTAGGACCACAGGCATCACCTGCTCTTTTAGCCGAAGCAGACAATCCCCCACCTTACCCAAAGCTTCTGCCTCCATCACAACCTTGCCCACCCCTCCCTACGCCTCAGCCCACATCCACCCCCCATCCCTCCTTCGCCCGCCTCAGCCCCTGCATGCTCTCCCACAGGAGCTGTGCACGGCGCGCTTTCTCAAGCTAGGCAGCAAGGGCTCCTCTCCTTAGAGGAAGAGGCTGGATGGGCTGGGGAAATGCCATCTGCCTTCCCTATCTCCTATGCAAACCCTGGCACTGCACAACAGCAGGTTATGTATGAGGCGCTTCCTTAGTCTGTTCTGAGAGAATTAAGGAAAGCCATTACTGATTCTGGCCTCAAATCTTCTTATGTGCTAGGGATGCTGGAGGGGATCGCAAATGGTTACACAATGCTACCTCAAGATTGGAAGGATTTGATGCAAATGCTTTTATCTCCTGCTCAGTATGTGGTTTTTGAAAGTGAATTCAAGCATAGCGCAGCAGCCCTGGCTGATCCACAGCATTCAGCCATCCAACTCTTTGGCGCTGGTCTGTATGATAATATACCAGCCCAGGCGCAATTGACACCTTTACATTTCAGTCGCACCGCGACCTGTGTACAACGCGCCTTTCGGAAAGTCCCTGTCTCAGGGCAACCACTGAGCTCCTTCGTTAATATTAAGCAACAACATTCAGAGCCTTACCATCAATTTATAGACAGATTGAAAGAATCAATCACCAGGCAGATTGATGACCCTACAGCTCAAAATGAATTGATGAAAAAATTGGCCTTTGAAAATGCAAACACCGATTGCAAGAAGGCTTTGCATTCAATCATACACCGCCCCAAATATGACCTGGCCGATATGATTCAAACCTGTGCAGATGTTGGCAGCCAGAGCCACGCGATGTCTTTGCTTGCTGGTGCCATCCAGGCTGGCAATAAGCCCACGGGCAATTGCTTCAATTGCAAATGCCCAGGTCATTTTGCTAAACAATGCAGAGCCCCTGGCGGGGGAGCAAGCAGGAATGGTGATGCCGATAAGGCTAAAGCTTCCAAAAAATGCCCAAAATGTGGAAAAGGCTATCATTGGGCAAATCAGTGCAGGAGTTCGGGAAACTCCATAGGGGCCCAGCTCTCGGGCCAGGACAAATAGAGAGCTCTCCGCTGTTAGTCTCCACTATTGAGACTTTTTCTAAGGATACACCCTCTGATTTCACCATTGATTTAATCAATCAGGAAACCAAAGACGCTGTTTTACCTGGTGAAATTGTGCTCATGCCCACCCAATTGGCGGGCCCACTACCACCTAAGGTCAACCCAACAACTTGTACTATATTAAATCCAATAACAATCTTGGTCTGTCTTCCTTCTACCAGGATACACAGATAAAATAATGTTATTTAGAGTTATTTCTGGTTGCCTATACACCATTCAGTTGACATGTATTGGCTGACTGATGAGTCCATGTAATCTATTTTGAATTGAACCTAATCATTTAGATGGAAAATGACCACGTTAGTGTACTCAAAAACTACATAGTTTTTTCAAAGCAAAGAAAATGATGTAAATTGAATGAGATGCACAGGTTGAGTCTGAAATATCTGCCACAAGCTACAGAAATAGTTGAGTCCTGAATAGCCATGTGAGGAACAAAGGAAGCAAATTTGTCAATACCAATAACACTTTCTGAAGTCCACTGATTACAAGGGGTCTGGGTTTGATTTAGTTTGATGCAAATCTTTATTTAGCATGTCTCCTTATTGAGTATCAAAGTGAACTTCATGTTAATTGTGCAAATGCAATTAATGTGCAATTTTTATTATGTAAATTGCTCACCCAAGGAGAAGACTGGCCATCCTTGGAACCACATGGGCTATTTGTAATTTAAGGGAATGCCACATTAGTACCAACTGAAGCTTCTTATAAAATGCAAATAGTAGTTTTGGAAAGGGAACTTTTGTTGGAACCATTCAGTCCCCCACCCACCCCCAGTGCTTCTGATACTGCTCAGGCTTTCCCCAGGGCTAATATTCCTTTACAATTTTTTTGCACTGACATCTAGCTAGGTCCTGAGAATCTCAGGGGTCAGGAACTGGATCTGGCTGGTGGGCCAGATCCTTATTTTCCCAAATCCTTTTGGACCAGATTTGAAAAGTGGTTTGTATCCACCCACCTGTCAATTGCCTGATGTCAAAAGGAGGGCAGGTTGTCAGGCGTAAACATGGACCACTGGTATCAAATTGTATGGGAAACAGCCTTACTAGAAAAGCTAACCAATAGACTGAAACTGGCATGGGGACGAATCAAAGAGGATGCTTTCACCCTGATATGGATCCCTTTTATTACATACACAAGACAACAAGAAGAATACACTGACAGCATACAAATCAATATCTTGGCTATCTTGACCCAAAAATACCTTCCCCACATGGAAACAAATCTCACTGCAGCCAGCTAAAAGACAACCGACCACACCCTACCCCCCACTCTCACTACCAAGGAAATATAATAAGCAAATAGAAAGAGAACCTACCCAAGTGATGCTGACACGAAACACCACACATACACTAAGTAAAAGAATATAAGTTTAACCACATCACCCACTCTTTTTCTCCAACCTTATACTATATACAACACTAATGTCTCACAAGAAATGTAACTGATCTGTAATTGTAATAATAATAATAATAATAATAATAATAATAATAATAATAATTTTTTTAAAAAATATTTATACCCTGCTCTCCCCAGCCAAGGCCGGGCTCAGGGCAGCTAACAAACAATAATAAAAGCAAGTTGAATGAATACAACTTAAAAACAAGATTAAAATACAACATTAAAACATTAAAATGCAGTCTCATCACAGGAGGAGAAAGGAAAAAAGAAAGAGGGGGAGGGAATCAAATTGATTCCAAGCCAAAGGCCAGGCGGAACAACTCTGTCTTACAGGCCCTGCGGAAAGAAATCAGATCCTGCAGGGCCCTAGTCTCATGAGACAGAGCGTTCCACCAGGTCGGAGCCAGTGGCTCTGGTTGCGGCTAATCTAACTTCCTTAGGACCCGGGATCTCTAGGGTGTTGCTATTTATGGACCTTAAGGTCCTCCGTGGGGCATACCGGGAGAGGCAGTCCCATAGGTATGAGGGTCCTAGGCCATGAAGGACTTTAAAGGTCAAAACCAGCACCTTAAATCTGACCCTGTACTCCACTGGGAGCCAGCGCAGCTGGAAAAGCACTGGGTGAATATGCTCCCATGGCAGAGACCCCGTGAGGAGCCTCACTGCAGCATTCTGCACCCACTGGAGTTTCTGGGACAGCTTCAATGGCAGCCCCGCATAGAGCGAATTGTGCAACCTGAAGAGAGAGACAATACATGTACTTTTGTAAACCAAGAAAATCTCTCTCTCTCTCTGTGTGTGTGTGTGTGTGTGTGTGTGTGTGTTAAGGGAGGGGAGGTTATCTTTTTTACCAGCAGGGGTTTCCAGAAGCCCCTTTCAAAGAACCCAGCAAGACAGCACTTTGAAAGGAAATACTAAAGTCATGACAGTCAGTGGATCTGTGGCATCTATTTAGCAGGAGTAACTATATTTTAGCCTAGCCTACCTCCTTTATAAAAACTGACTGAGGACACAAACAAACAATCAGATCTGAACAGTGGCTTTGGACAGTTTCCATTCTGCTGTTCTGTACATCCCATTAATGCCAGCCTCTTTCCTCTGTGTACTTACAATACATAAGGAGCCAAGCATGCAGCAAATGGGACGACAAAACTGCCACTTTGAGCTACTGATGCCATTTCCCCCCTTTCTGGTTACAGGGTGGGATGAAAATATTATAAATAATAATATTTCTTTACTAGCCACATTTACTATGTGATAAGTAAGTCAAAGGGCTTAAAGGGGAGGAGGAGGAAAAGACTATTAGCTGATCATACATTTAAGACAGAGCATCACTGTTTAAGTACAGAATGAAAGGACTTGATTCCATTAGAACATGGCTTGTTTTGTATGTGTCTTAATTAGCGCTACTGTGCGATTTTTAATTATAGGTATATTGTTTTCCTATTGTGATCAAGAGTGCAAAAGGGCTATGATGCCACAGAACTATCCTTGTATAATGATCCTCACAGGGGGAATTGCATTAGCATTGGCAGTTTATTGAAACAGCGGACTCTAGTATTAATTTTAATGGCATTCGCTTTTTAAGTCAATGTGGTTAATGGCTACTATTGGACTGTTTGTTTTACAGCTTGCTTTGAAGTCTCAATTTATGCATCTATCTCATAGCGGTTGGCATGCGAGCAAGTATAGTGCTGAATGTGCATCAGCCCTCTGTAAGAGGACCTTGTGCCAGAATAGCATCACAAAATATTATGTGCTAACCTGGAACAAGGAAAATGATCGCTACAGTGGATTTTGTCAGGACCTAAATTGCCAATCCATTTATCGTAACTCAATTGTAGCTGGCTGTAAATCACACTTAGTAATAAATGTTTCATTTTTAGTGTTTTCACAGATGTACAGATTCACCTTAGTTCTATTGACTGTGGAGGAGATAATTAAAATCTATGCACATCTTTCATTACTAGCACCTTGCTTTTATACAGTACCTTTCCACAAAAGAGCCATGAATGTTTCAGATGCATATTTGCAGCTTCACTGGTGGGGAAGTGAATTCTTATCCAGGGTCAATCTCTACTTTTGAAACATCAGAATACAGAAACATAGGAAGCTGTCTTTTACTGAGTCATACTCATTTCGTTGACTTAGCCCAAAATTGCCTACTCTGATTGGCAGTGGTTCTCTAGGGTTTCGGTCAATGAATTTTTGCTAGCGCCAGCTGCAGCTGCCAGGGATTGAACCTGGGACATTCTGCATGTAAGGCAGATGCTTTGCCACTAAGCTATGGCCCTTCCATGCACATGCAGCTTATATATGCCTTCAACAAATGTTATGATTTTTAGTATTTAGTTATGATAGTGATTGGGCAAATTTTCCCCATTCCACTGAAATATGGAGAAATGGGATTGGAACTTCACTGAAAGCCTTTCACAATTCTCAGGGAGAAACACTGAAGTTTCCTTATGCACACCTGTATTGAGCGGGAGTTCTTGGCATCAGCTTCACGTGTATAAAGACCTCTGAATCAGGGGGAAATCTTCATCTCAGCATAAAGTTGTCACACACACACACACACACACACACACCATATTTCCTCTGCAGGCTCAAAACATGCAAGGATGTCCTGAATCAACTTTGCAAATGCATCCTGCCCACAATTTGATAGGAGTGGAACTACATGCCAGTGTGGTGTAGTGGTTAAGAGCGGTAGACTCATAATCTGGTGAACCTGGTTCGTGTCTTCGCTCCTCCACATGCAGCTGCTGGGTGGCCTTGGGCCAGTCACACTTCGTTGAAGTCTCTCAGCCCCACTCACCTCACAGAGTGTTTATTGTGGGGGAGGAAGGGAAAAGAGAATGTTAGCCGCTGTGAGACTCCTGAAGGGGAGTGAAAGGCAGGATATCAAATCCAAACTCCTCCTCCTCTTCTTCTTCTTCTTCTTCTTCTTCTTCTTCTTCTTCTTCTTCTTCCTAGCTGAGACAAAAATCTGAGCACTCCAAGGTAGCATGTGATGTTGCTCATGTCAACAGCCATAAAAGCAGGGAGGGAAGCGGACCAACACAATGCCTGAAAAGTTCCCCAATAAATCTGACGGCTTTAACATGTTATGTTTACATATTCTATGTTAGTGTATAAGATAGCTGGGCATCTAGTAACAGGTTCACCATACTTAATGTGGTGCCTTCAGAACTATGCTACAAGTGGAGTTTTAGAATAAGCCCTAAAAGCGGCTATAAATGTCTGTAACCCGCATAGTATGCTCACTTTATTTGTAGCTATAATATGACAGAGCAACTCTGAAGTGAAAATTAATTCCACAAGCCTACCATTCCCATTTTTCCCCCTGTGTTGCAATGATTTATCTGAAACCACCTCATGCTTAAATTCTGTTGTGATGAAACAGCTGTGAAGACACCAGCCTGGCCTTTGGTGAAGTTCAAACAATTCCAGCAGAATGCTTTAAATCCTGTGAAACCCTTTTAATCAAAAAGAGTGCTTGAGCAGGACAAGATAGGATTAGAGCTGGATCCCCACAGAAACTGCTGAAACATACTTATTGCCAGCCGCCAAAACGAAAAGAACAAGGTTCTGGTATTTAAAGAGTAAAAAGCAATAAGCCAGGAGTTTTCAGGGGGAAAGAAATCTTGCAAGTGTAAGTTGAGATTGTTCCTCTGAAATAGCTGTTGATTGTAATTACGTGGAGGAGCGAATACCACACTTGAGTACTTTTTGCATTCAGGAAAGTTCTTGGGAGTTTCAAAATGCTTCCTCATTCCCCAGACCCCCATTTATATGGTGAATACACCATTTTTGATGATTGATCAAACCACTACAGTTTTTCCAACTTGTGCTTGAATGGCAGCAGATTTCAAATACTGTAGGTTCACTGAGTGCATGCAATCTTGTTTAATGATCTGAGATAGAGCTCAAGAAGAATTTTCTTTTTCTTTTCTTTTTTTTGAAACAGATAAGTCATTTTCAGATAGCAAAGCATTCGAATGCTTTGCTTTCTTAACAAAATTTAACAGAATTGTTTGATGCAACCAGACAAACATCACCAGGGCCTGCCCTACCATTAACCACCTCAGATGGAAAGTGTGGAGCAGCAGTGAGGTGTTAGAAAGCACAGCTATCTGTGTCACATGATTTGACCTGCATTCTGTAAGATAGCCAACTTTTGGGTGCAGAAGAGAAGGCTGTCCCATCACCAGTGCTGAACTAATATTTACCTATCAATCCAGTCAGGTTCTATACTTGGAGGGATGGGAAGGGACCATATTGTCCATTGGCTCAGGCAGCAAACAGTCTTGGGCTGGCCTTTCACATCACACAAAATTTCTGTAGCTGAATAATATGAGAGACTCTTGTTCTATACTCAGAATTTGTCGTAAAGTTGTTACATGATTTCCTCTGAGATAGGGAGGCTCGCTGACAGGAGGAATGATGGCTTGCAAGAGGCCTCCCCTTTTTATTAGGAAGGAAAAACATCAGTACAAACCAACATCCATCTGATACTACATTGTTAGCTCTGCAGACAGAATGATGCCCCTTTAGACAGTGGCTGCGATTCACTGACATCTTGAAACACATGCTGTTGAAACTCGCATAGCATAGCTTAACCAGCAAAGGATCCCTTGGAGCTCTAAACTTCAACCATGTCCTTAAGTATACCAACACTTGGTTTTAAGTGATGTGTGCCAAACTCTCTCATTTATCAGACCTGGTTATCCAGTGCACCAAGGTCATTTGCCCTAGTAATTATGTGTAATAATTTGGCATCACTTTTGTATCTTCATATTTTACAACAGCAGGTAATATATTTTAAATAACACTTCAGTGTCAAGAGGAGCATTTACGCAACCTAATGCATTAATTTGAAGACATATACCAGGCTTTTAAAATTTGCAAATATGTGAAAGGTTTCACTAAAGCATTGTGCTGTGTAGCTTTTCTTTAGTTTTTGTTTTATGTCAGACAACTATCCAAATGAGCAAGGCCTGTTGTACTTGATTAATTTACTTACTTTGATATTTCTAAATATAACCACATCATAAATAACGGTGTTTACTTTCACTGTGGACAACATTTATAGAAGCAGCTGTTTGTCATATTGAAGCAACTTCCTCCCATAATGGTGTGTCTATGAAAATCAGCCATGTTCTAGCTACTTAATGCTATTATAAAGCTATGCCATATGCTTGCCACATATGGCGATCGTTTTAGAACCCTTAGGAGAAGCCAGCAATGTTCCTTCCTGCAGAACTCCTTGAAACTTAGGGAAAGGGAAACCACTGGGAAAATATTGAGTGTGGCTCCAAAATGAAATACATATACTCTGAAGATATACTTGCTAATTTCAATCAAACTAACTCTAAATTGGATGGATGGCTCGTACACCCCAGGTAGTGTGGTTGCTGACCTTGAGCCAGACATCCTGGAGAGTGAAGTCAAATGGGCCTTAGAAAGCACTGCTAATAACAAGGCCAGTGGAAGTGATGATATTCCAGCTGAACTATTAAAAATTTTAAAAGATGATGCTGTTAAGGTGCTACACTCAATATGCCAGCAAGTTTGGAAAACTCAGCAGTGGCCAGAGGATTGGAGAAGATCAGTCTACATCCCAATCCCAAAGAAGGGAAGTGCCAAAGAATGCTCCAACTACCGCACAATTGCACTCATTTCACACTCTAGCAAGTTTAGGCGCCTCCGGCAATGGCTGAATTTGCTCCGTGAAAAGCAGGGTCTGACCGCCACGGTGAAGGCGGAGACCCATAGAAATCACAGGCGGGAGAAGCCTGTGAACCTGGGATTCGGCTGGCACCTTTGCGCCCCCCTGTTTTGGGGATCCGGAGCGACGTGGGCTGAGCGGCGTGGTGCTTTGAATCAACCGCTTCTTTCACGGAGTGAAGCTGCATCGCTGTTGCCGGAGAGCTCTGACTTTTTCCTGTGGACAATTGGATTTTAAACGACTACCCATGAGTAGAACGGAGAATTGGATCTTGAAACACTTTAATTTGGCGCTGAAGCGGGAAGGCTCTAAACAGGAAGTCCGCCTCCCGTTTTGTAAATAGATTGAAGCAAAGAAGTTACAAGCTAAAGTCTTTGAAAGCTTTTGATAAAGGATTAAATTCCCACCAGACAAAAATATATAACCCCTCTTGGAAGCAGGAGAAGAGAGGGGAAGTTTTGGATTTAGTGCGCCTGCAGAAGAGAGTCAAAATTAAATTGCCACTGCTCTAACCTGGAAAAGGGCTGCCAGATGACGTTCGGGGAATGTTTATTGACAGAACGGATTTGACAGCTAGCTAAAATAAGAAAGGCACTGTTTCCATTGTCCTCTTCTGTGTTTAAAAATGGAGGAAAAAGTAACCAAAAATTGAAACTATTGTTACTTGCTTGAGTCGTGCTTGAAAGAATTGATACAAACGGAGACTGTTTCCCTCTAGAGGGAGCATGTGAAACTGTTACAGGAGTGTAACAGGGAGAGCTCCAGCTGCAAGATAAGATTCTGAAAATTGGAGTCTGACCTTGGATCACTCAAAATGCTGATAGGAGAAGCCATTGTGACTGTATTATACAAGATAAACTACTCGCTGGAACAGCTACATAAAAAGACAGGTGACATGATCTCTAAAATTGACAACTTGGAACAGAACGTGATCAATTTGAATCAAAAAGTGAGTGTCAATACAGAAAAAACTCAGGATTTGGTACAGGAACATACCTTGGTTGGACAAATGGTGGAGGAAAAGGAGAAAGCTGATGATGTGAAAATGGTGGAGAAAAAGGAGAAAGCTGATGATGTAAAACCAAAAGTAGTACAAGCGGGATCCTTAATTTCTCAGAAGCAGATTGAGGATTATAAATTGAGGTCTTTCATGACTGAATCTAGCAAAAGTCAAATTTTGAGGCTAGGATCCCAGCTTGGATTGAAGAAGGAAGGTTGGAAAGAACTCTCTATCCAGGGATTGACTGTTTTTTGGGACATGGACGTGGGCTTGGAGGAGCTTGAAGTTTTGGGGGTCGCTAGAATTGGAGGAATCCTGAAATACGTTCTGAAACACTCTATGGATTTTACTTTTAACTTTGGAAATTTGGCTGAATTGTCCAGAAGGAACAAAAGTATTGCTAGGCTGGAGTTTTCCCGAGATTTGCTCCTGAGCATCAAAGAATATGAAGAAGACCTGCAGAAGGGACTTGGAAGAGATTTAAGAGCCTTGGATATAAGGGCACCAGGTTGATGGATTATATGGAATTGATGGAAAGGACTGGCAGAATCCGAAGCCAG